AATTAATTATGTTTGATAGAATTTTTCGTCAGTTTTTTTACAATCTCTTCCTAGAAAGAACAAACCAAAGGATAAAGTCGTTCAATTAGATTGACAATTTCAACTTGGCAAAGTCTCACTCTACATGAAGTTCTGAATGATCCTTTGGTCACCAAATATTTAGAGGATAAAAAGAAATTTGATAATTGATTGAAATTTGTTCAACTTTAAACTGTATTTATTTGTTACAAGATGTGTCGTGTTATTTCATAATTGGCGGTCATCAAATGACATCAAAGTTCATTAAGTAAATAACGCTTTTAACTTTACATATTTAACCTTAAATTTTATTTTATTGAAGATCAACTTAATTATTTCTTTCTTTCGTGTCGGATAATATTTAAAAATGTCATATACGCCATCGGGGATAATCGAAGGTCGACGCAGTAAGTAGCCTTATTAATTTCAAATTTTTCAATTAATCTTAATTATCTTTATCTTCTTTTCAGGGCTTCTCAAATACATTGGATCATGTCAGCCAGCTTATTACATAAGTGACTGAAGTGAAAGCTACATTGGTTTTTCAGTTGTAGTTCAAGTGAAAGCGTCTAAATTGCGGAATATCAACCTCAGTCAAGTACCGATTATTCCTAAACCTCAATTCGACCCAACACCAGTTCTAATACTTGAAAAGGACCAAGTAGTTTCAAATCTTGAATGGGCTTCTAACGTTAACATCATTGTACACGTGAATGACACCTTATGATCGTGAATAAATTTTAAGCAAAAAACACGACTAATTGTTATATTTTTAATAAGAGAAATTAAGAAACTGAACTTTTAGGAAAGGAAACTGATTTGTTTGTAATGTTGTTGTATTTTCTATTTCTGCAAATGCTTTGTCAAGCATTTTATCGAAAAAGAGATCTTTTTTGGTGAAATTATTGGGACATTTCTTTTTCTTCCTATGTGACATCTACATGGTGGGTATCCATATTCAATCACTAGCCTGGCACCTTCCTTGACTTCTTCTACAAAGGATGGAAATTCATCAGAACAAGGATAATTTGTCTTGCCTATCCGCTTTGAATTTACATGTTTGATCTACTGAAATGAAAACGAAATCAGAATCAATAAAATGAACAAGAAAGAGACAAAATGCATTTACTAACTATTGAGAGTGGATCATTTTTACACAATTCACACGTGTCATAATACTCCTGATTGAAATTCATAACCAATAAGTTAATTAAACTAAAGAAAAAATGGAATGAGACAATTACATAATTTAGCGCAAAATACTTTGAAATTACTAATTTCTAAAACTTGACGCTTGAATCAGATTAAGCGGTTAAGATTTGAAGTACAAAGCGCGAATATTAAAACATCTAATTAAGTTGATTGCCTGTTTCTATTACCCAGCGCCCCTGATGCGCGATGGAATGAAAAGAAATGAATAAAAAGCAAATAGAAAAGAACGAGATTCCTACATCTAACACAATTTTCAAAATGGATAGTTTATAATATCGGCAAACAAAAGTATGAATCAATGCCCAGTATTTGTACAACATTCAAGCTACAGGATAATGATGAATATCGCTATCAAATGTTGAAGGATGGTGAACTTATGACTTTCTCTGATTATAATTTTTTTGAGGGTTCTGTCAAATCTTTTTATATCAAAATCAACCGAAAATATAGGTGCTTATGCTCAGACTGTAAGGATTCACCCTGACTACACTGCTGTTATAAAAAATCATCTACAAGCCAAAAAAAATAATGTATAAATGTTTTACTTGTGACAAAACGACATTGTTTAAAAGCGGTATGAGCCATCACCTTAAGAAAAAGCTTTGTAATCGTAATAATACTGAAGATAATAAATAATATCTTCAAATATAAAAATTATCTTCTTAGATTAATCCTATTAATTTGTGCAAAATGATCAGAGTATCATGATCACCTTCGACATTGATTGTATTACTTTGTATAATTTTAATTCTTAAAAATTTTAATCATTCCCCATTCCTCTTTCCTAGTAACAACATTAAAAATATAAGAGTTGGTTATAAGTTGGTTGTGATTAAGTTAAATTCTTAAATTATATTTAAATTGTTGTTACATCTATTGAAAACATCAAGATCATCTTAAAAAGCTATGCTCTCATGTAACAACTCGTTCGTTATACAGGGCGTAACAACCAAATATCCGAAAAAATTTCTCGGGAAAAGTTTTGCATCGAAATGTACCACTTTTACAACTTTGAGAAGCCAATGCTCGGTAGCGGCTTTATTGAAAAGTTCTAAACCAGAACACAACAAAAATTTCACATTTTCTCTGTTGAATCTTCAAGAAAAAACTCTGACCTAATAAATAGCTTAGATATGGTAAAGCGTCGAAAGTCCGGATATACGGTTGTTACGCCCTGTATATTTATGTTGATGATAATAGTTGTAATTGATAGAATTGGTAGGTAAAAAACAATGTGAATAATATTAAAATTTAGTTGATGTAGAGTTTGATATTAGATTGAGAAATACATAATATTCTCTTTTTGTTTGAGAAAACAAATAATTAATATTAAATAATTGAGTAAATCTAACTTTAAAACAAGAAGATATAAGATAAAAATAGAACATGAAAAAATGATAGTTGAGGTATACGAGGAGAAGGGTTAGTTCATCCCAACTGAACATATTTTAGCTTTACATTGGGATTTTCATATTCATGTTCACTTTCATTTCACCTTCATCTTCATCTCTATTTTTATCTCCATCTCGTCTCTTTCAAGGAGACGAGGTGTTTATCTTTTCTTTGCCAACAGTACTAATTGTGTTTTTACATTCAACATCTATCGGTTGTTGTTAATTAGTTGAACTGAATTTTTACAAAGGTAAGTCGATATTCTCTTATGTGTCATTCGTCAGTGCATTGGAAACATTTGCTATCGATTATTTTTCTTGATTTCACCACTCGATCTATTCGGAAAGAAAAATCGATTCTCTTGAACTGTCAATGTATTCGAATACAAATTCGAAATCGATTTTCTTTTGAACAAAAAGACGATGAGCAATTAGATTTAGAATCAGTACCAGTTTCTGTGGATTCATAACGAATAAGGTAATTTTCAGTGTGAGGATTTACTTTCAAGAATCTAATATGAACAGTTTCAACGGTGGTTGGAGCTGAACCGGTGATCACGGCTACAATTAAAAATAGAAAAGAATGATTAGTTTAATTGTTCGAGGGCAATTTGAGATCAATTCAAACTTTTAAGTGAAGGCATAGTGATGTTGTTTTTCTCTAGATAATTGATTAAATCAATCGTCATCGCTGGAACAATCATTGCATGGGAACAGTTATTTTCATTAATTGTCTCAACCAAACTCTTAACATTGTAACGATAACCAGAAAGAGTGATTGTGATTCCCATTCGGGCCATCATTGTGATCCCATAGACAAGGCCAAAGATGTGGAAAAGAGGAACTGGAATAGCGGCAACAGTTCCTGGTTCATCAAGACCAAGTCTTCGAGCAGTTAATTGTGCATTGTTGATTAGATTACAATGTGATAATAAGGCTCCTTTAGGTTTACCGGTTGTTCCCTGTGATTAGAAACATTGAAATGAAAAGTTGGTAATTGTATTCGGATTGATCTGTATTACCGAAGTGAACATGATGATCGCTGGATCATCACTATTGACTCTTGATGAAGTTGTAGTTGATCCATCACTCGATGATAACAATTGTTTTAAAGAGAATTTGTCAAATTCTAATGAAGTTAAATTGTCACCATCAATTTGAACCAATTTCTCAAGAGTTGAATTAGTTTTCCTATTCAATTTACTCGCTATGTTGGCGAAATCATTGACCACCGTTTGTTGGGAAGACTGACCAGGTACGAATAAAACTTTGGCCCCCGACTTGGCAAGAGCATATTCCAGTTCGGGTAATTTGTAAACTGGATTAAGGGTGCACAAAACTAACCCATAGCGAGCACAAGCCAATTGAATTAATATCCATTCATAACAATTTGATGACCACAAAGAGACAACATCACCTTTAGTCAAACCAAGGACAGAATCAAATGAATCAACCAGTTGATTAACTTCTTTATTTAGATCACCAAATGATTTAACTATTTTCTGATGGCCACTGATTATCGCAGGTTGGGAATTACCTTTAAAAAGAGAAAACAAATCAAGTAAATTAATCTTATCATTAAGGTAAAGGAAAAGTAAACCTTAGGCTCTAATCAGCTGATCGCCAAAACCTTCACCGAGACCTTTAATTACTCACGTTGATCAGAACTTAATTGTAGAGCATCACCAATGGAATAAAATTCTAGATTAGCTGGAGAAACACCATAAGCATATGAGTATGGGTGAAGAATGAAAGTTCAGGTTAAGAGAAAATAAACAAATGAGTAGAAATGAGTTTGTAGACTTGCGACGATTTTGATGAATTGAATCTTTGTTGGTTTGGTGATTTTGATGAATTGGAATGACTAGAGGTCAATGGAATTGAATTAAATCTTGAAAAGAAAGTAAATCATAAATTATTTCAAGAAATTAAATGTTTTGATGACGAGAAACGGTTTAAAATCATCATGACTTTTCGCTGTAAAATTGAGACAATCAATTGGAGAGGAAAAGATGAACAAAACAAAGTCTACGATTGCCGAGAATTAAAATTAAATGGTTGAATTGGTTGTCTTTTCTGTCGGTACATTATTTGTTTACTTTTGATATGGCCAACTTGTGGAACATGTTAAGGTCAAAAGATTTCGTATGCTTTGGATATTCGTTGATTGGTCATTCGCTTATTTTCCTATGTAGTGTCTCTTCGAATAACATAGTTGATATTGGTCCAGAAGGTTAATTGAGTTCTGTACCAAGAGAGGTCAGCAGTGCACAGAAAACTTGACTACCAAACAAAAAGTAAAAATGAGTTGACTCAATGATTGTGATAGTTTAGTTTTTATGATAAAAGTTATTTTACTCATTCCCAGTAAATGATCAAACCAAATAAGTTTATAGTTCTATCAAAAAATTGAGTTAATTTAAATTGAAGAAAATGTGAAACTTTCAGTGTTTAATGAAATGAATTAGAAACAAGTAATTAGGAGACACAATTAGACATCGTAAAAAATTGATTATTTCTCATTTTAAACACCGATAATAAACATAATCAAAATTCTGTTAATTTGAACCGCAACTTCATCTATTTATTTTATAAATTGATTGTGTTTGGTTGAACACTTTATGTATCAATAATTATTATTATTTGCTCATTAATTTGATTCATCAAAGTTGTTAATTAACGCGAATTGAGTGAATCATCATCATCATCATATTCACTTAATAATCAATATTTTGTGTTTTTATCAAGATATCATCATTATCATAATAATCATCATCTTAGTCTCTATCAAAATAATTTAATTTAATTTAACTGTTTCAACAAAAATGAGAAGGAAATTAATGTTTCTTAATTGTGATTCAGTTGCTACTCAAACAATTTGGATATCTAAATCATCACCGGTGACATGTCTTCAATTACTATTATTTTTACTGATACTTAATTGTAGTTACAATTTGTCTGTAAATTCACAAAGTTTAGAAATTGACTATTCAGGTATTTATGATTTGCTTAATTATCATTATTGATGATCCAATGGTTGTATTCCAATCTATTAAAATTCACTTTCTCTCTTTCTCAATGTTTAGGTCACACAGAAGTCGAAGGTATCGCTGGTCGATCAGTCTCTTTACCATGTAACATAACGATAACCAACGGGAATATTAAAGAAGTGGCCATTATTTTATGGTACAAAGGAGAGACTGGAATTCCTGTTTATACAGTTGACACTCGGAATAAAAGTTCATTAAGTGGTTCAATTCATATTCCATCGAGTTCTTATAAGAGTCGATCTTATTTTGATATGTCCAAAAGTCCACCGACTCTACGATTAGATAAAGTTAGTGAAAAAGACTCAGGTGAATATCGATGTAGAGTCGATTATGAAAAATATCCAACACAAAACTTTCACATCAACCTAACAGTTATCGGTAAGTTCAATTAATTTCCTTCAATTTACTCAATTCAGGAATGTAACTAGAACTTTTAGCTTTCCAATTCAATCATAATGAACTTTTTTGCATAAAATAAACACCACTACAACTTAAAGCAATCATAAAAATAATCACTTTCACTGAAGAAAATTACTCATTCTCTGAGTTTCATGATATTCATGCTACTAGAAAGATACACGAAATTTTTCATCATCTACAAAACCTCAACATTTGCATATACATTGAATTTTCATCCTTCTTACTTTTCAGATTATCATTTACAGGAAAAGTTAGAGGAGAAACGACTCAACTTTTTATAAGTTTCCAAATCTACTATCAGTTTGTTCACCTTGATAGATTTTTGATCAACAGAGTTACTGATTTTAATAAATGTTCAAAAACGCCCATGATAATTCATAAAATCGAATCTCAATCTTATAGAATGATAGTGTCATATTCAATAATAACATTTTCCTTGGCTAAATTATCAGAGAAAAAACTTCCTCGTCATAATCATAACAGTCACCTTCATCATCATCAACAGCAACATGATTATCATCAAAATCCATCAAAATGAATTCTTGTCTATCAGAAGCATTGAAACTCATAAGATACCCTGAGAGTTAGTGAGTAGAAGAGTAAAAATTTCATCTTCCCCTCTCTTCATCTGATTATAAATTCATTTAACCTTCACAATCTCAGCATAAGACTGATAACATCACTTCCGAAAAGTTATCAAAGTAAAATGCAAAATTTTGTTTCAACAGAAATAATAATGATGATAACATACTGAAACCTACAGAACAGGGAAAGTAGTTGACGGTGGGAAAATTCATAATTCATTCTGGAAATTGTGTAATAATACCAAGAGCATTCATGATGATAGATTTCAATTGTTTGAACAAACTGAAACTCAAAGAAATGGAAACAAAAAAAACGCTCATTGTCAATTAGTTATGTAAAATGGATTCAAATGAAATTCAAGCCTAAGCCCAAGAGATTATGATTGTCAACTCATATCAAGGGATCTTTTACACTTTATCTCTTCCTTTTAATAATAATCATGGTGATGATTCTCATGATGAAATATATTAGATATGAAGATGATTTTGTTGAAGAAAAAGTTGAGATTTCTACAAAATCTTAATAACTTATTCTTAAAAGCTTTTATCATCATTACTATTATCAAATGTTATCTTATATAACTTTTTCACTTCCTGTTAAGATGAAATAAGTTGTTCAGCTGAGACATTATATTAGTTTTATCCTTTAGCATCTCGTCATCATCATGTTGTTGATTTAGAAGATGAAACAAATATTCATTTTCTATGTGAAAATTTTGTTATCATGTTTGTTACATTTCCCTATGAAAGCCATCAACATGAACGGATATCAAATACTATTCACATGATGAATATCATTCATGATAATAGATGATAACTTGAATAAACATCATATTATTTTGTGACACTATTTTATTAATATTACTAAACTATAACCGTTATTTTAAAATACTTTTTACTTATCTACTTACTCATATCAGTAGTTTTAACTGAAAGTCAATGTAACCGATAAGCTTGTGAAAGACATTCAGAAAAATGCTCAAAATGCTGACTCAGATTGACCAGAATCCAAGCAGAATGTCAGACAGAAGGAGATGAATAAAAGTACTATATCATATATGATAATCTTCAAGTTTTATCACCGACAGAATTTCAGCTTTACCTGAATATTTTTACCTTCTCCATCTATTATCATTTATCCGAATCTCTTTATCTTCATGTTTACATGATGATGAAGTTTTCTTATTGAATGATGAATCAAATGATTTTCTGGTCAAATTGAATGGAGTTGTTTCATCATTAATCTGTATTAGTTGACAGTTGATTCAACATAATAATAGAATTGAAATTGATAAAAAAAATAGTACATTATATATTATCATTTACCTTGTCTCTTCAGGTCTAAATTGTTATTGTTGTGATTTTTTCTCATTTGAGGATTTTACTCAGTCAACTCAAGTTCTGTTTCGATTCAGCGGAACATTAAACCTCTCTTTATTATTAAATACGAAATGACTCAAACATGTCCATCGAAGACCAGAAATCTGATTTTTGATCGGTCAAACTAATGAACTAACTAAAGTAATCAGATTGAACTCCGAGGCAAGTATTAATAAAAAAGAGTTTAGTTTCTACAAAATTAATGTCTAGTGTTTGGAATTAATTAATATTTTGATCTCGATGAAAAAAAAACATCGTAACGAAGTAAGATTTGATCTGATTGACTTAGGATTTAGGTCAACTTATTGAATGTCCAGACAGTTATGGTAATTATCTGCTTGACCATTGAGCGTAACATAAAGGGTTAAACATAATGATAATGTAAATGAAAAAGTTGATTAATTAGCTTTAATTTTTTGCTCATTTATCCATTGTTTGAGTTATAAAGATAAATTATAATCTGGTCAAGATGATAATGTTCAATTATATAAATCAGTGAATTTGGTTGACCAGAGTTAATGAATATATCATGATGGTGTTGATTAATATTATTCATGATAAACATTAACAAACAAAAAATGATAATTCATAAATATCATAATCAAAGTGATAATAACAATGATCACAACAATAACAATAATCATTGTTATGATAAATTATGAACAAAAATTGAGATGATTAATAATGATTACATGATTTGAGTTGATTCATTTATCATCATGAAACATCATCATGAATAATGAGTTATAAATAGCTTACATTATGAATATATGAGCATAAAATGTATAACAATTTAACAAACAAATAGTGAAGATTCAGTGAGTCCGCATGTAATAATATACGATAACCATGATGAGCAAGAGAGAGAGAGAGAGAGAGAGATTGTGAAAGGGATGAAAAATTCCAGAACTGATTTCATCATAACCATGATAATAATCAAATTCAACTCATTTATTAAGTTCCAATTGATTTCAGTTTGATAAAGTACAGATATTCAGTTTCCCAATCTACTCATGTTCCATGAGAGTGAATCAATCAGTTAAATTCATGGTGAATAAAAAATAAACTTCGAGTCAATCTCATTGGAGGAGAAAGAAAAAAGTTTCCATGATAATGATGATGAAAAAAAAGTTCAGAATGATAATAATGACAATTTATTATCAAATTTACATTTATGACATTTTAAGTATTCATTGATTTTCATTTGTGAACCATTGCAATCCTAAGATCTCACTGATAAAGTGCAAATACATATTAATGTATATAAATGTTATCACTTTGGTGTAAATTTTATCAACTTTTATTTGAAACTGTTATTTTTTTTTGTTCCAACAAAGTGAAAACTGTATATTAATGGCCAGTGTATATATTCAACTTACAGGGTGTTTATATTCCGTGTGATACTTTAACGATAAGATTAATAATATACATATTAGATGAATGGTTATGAGTTTCCAAAGTTTTCATGATACTTGCATGAGGAAAAGATTCTCGTACATTGAACTTTAATCATGATTCAGTGAGATGGTGATGATGGTGATAAATTGCATTTCAAGTATTAGATTTCATTGTTCAATATTGGAAACTTTTTTTCGCAATCTACATTTTTCTCACTCTCAGAACTTTTTTCTTCAGAACTTTTTTGCTTTTCATTCGGAATCAATATGGAAAAAAATTTGGAGAATTTTTTTTTCTATCTCAACCTTTACCTTCCATCACCATGTCTGATTATTCAGATGTCAGAGATAATCATGAATTGAACAATAATTTAATATCCATTGGCTTCCATTAGATTTCAATATTTATCTTGATTCCATTTATTTTGTCATCATGTGATTATTTGTAATTCAATGTGATAAAAATCATTAATTTCATGATGAATTTTGAACAGCATACAATAAAAAATTCTGAATCAATTATTGAACTTTTTCCCCTGTGATACCTGATTTTCATGATTGAAACTCAGAGTTTTATTCAGATTTTTTCCCTTGCATTTCTATGTCACTTTCTTGTTTTCGTTATCTAATCTGAATTTATGATAGAATGACAATTATTCTGATAAAAAGATGAACCATTTTTTTGCTGTTACTGTTTCCATCTTTCCATCATCATAATCCATTATCTTACTGTACACACTCAGTTTCCAACAAGATTGATAAGATAATATAAGATAGAAATGTTGTCCACCTTTTAGATTAACGATTATTCATGATGGTGATCAACATCATGTTCATCCTACATCTTCCGCATGATTCAACTGAATCAACAGATTACCGGTTAACCTGAATAACATACTCGTGAATCTCAACATGATGCAAATGAATGGAAACAGAATCAGTACCATGAATTCAATGTAATAGTTTTCAATTGAATAGAGAGAAAAGAGTTAAATTCTCTCTATGAATTATCTCATGAATTTTGTCTGTAAAGGTTTAAATGATATAAAAATAGATGACCAATTGAAAATTCTGATTCAAATTAAGTGCAAACACAAACTAATCATGAATACTGAGGTTAAATTATCTGATTTTTCATGAATAGTAGAAAAGTTCAACCTAATGAACACACAAGTGAAACAAAACGTTTCCATCTCATTGAGAGAAAATTCTGATTGGATTTTATTCTGAAACCTGAATTTTTATTCATTCATTTTTCTTTGCATTTACAATGTAGAAAAGTAAACATGATAAACAATTTGTTGTTCTTTTCGATTATTTATCCCCCATTCTTTTCTTTTTCAATCTAATACATGAGGAAAATTGCATGAGAAAACATTTGGAACACATTGTTTACATGAGAATCATATTTCATGGGCCAATGAATAGCAAAGGTAAGCATTATTTCAGTGGAAAGGATAACCAAAAGTTCATAGATTAACCTTGAGATTGAGCGTTCAGATTATTTGTATAACTTGAAACTTTTGCACTTTCACCATTTGGATTATAAAATTTCCATCATGCTCATGAAACATGAACTTTTATGGAAACAAAAATG